CTTAGAAACAAACACATATAGATGCTCCATTGCTATGACCTTATGCCAAACTAAGCTTGGTAATTAACTCTACAGAGACTGTCTGGAAAGTTTCCAGTCATTTGGAAAACATCACAAACTGGTTATGCAGCCTTGATGTGAATTGAAATAGTACCATTAGGTATTTCCTTCTATGAGAGCATTTCACATTCATTGACTGAACAACAATTGTTACTTTCATTTGAAATCCTAAGTTGCTTTGAAAAAAAAAAAAGGAAATAAAAAAAAATTATCTATAAAATAATAAAAACCTGACCATAACATTTGAGAAAAAACAAAAATAGCATCACTTAAAATATTAACAAAATGCAGTAATGGCAATATTAGCCATTTCCCTATAAAGAAACATTCAGCACTAATTGATTGAGCAGCCATATGAACCACTTTCTTGCACAACCTTTCTCCATTTTTCCTTTAACTTAAAGATTCCATCTTCCCAAAATTTCAGCATTTTCTTGACAAAGAACTCATTAAGGTAGTATTTTTATGTCAGGCTAAACAATTTTTTTTTGCAATGTCTGGTGAATATGGCAGGTGGAGTAACACATTTCAGCCAAGCTGCAACAATTTTTGCTGGGTTATCCATCAAATCATAGATGAAATGTGATCCAAAAGAGTCTTTTCACTCAGATCACATGGCATCCAAACAAGCTTCACTAAGTGCTCATGGATGGTGGATTTTGATAAATTTAGTGTTTCTGCCAATTCCTGCATTGTATAATGCGGGTTATTATCAATCAATGTCTTGATTTGGTTGTCATCTGTAGTGTTGGAGGGGGAGTGTCTGTCTGAGCGTTCTTCATCAATAAGGCCACAATTACCAACTCTAAACTTAGTGAACCAATTCCATACAGTTCTGTCAGCTAAAGTTCTTTCACCGTACACAGCACATACCTGTTTTTGTTGCTTGCGAGGCATTTTTGCCTTTATGATAAGAAAAAAGCATCGTCTAAAATGCAACTTATAATCTTCCATTTTCAAAGGTATGCAAAACTGACACAAATTAAGTAATTTTAAATTTTCTTTCTCAAGAGATAGTTTGAAATGTGCTCTCATCAGAAATGTAAGCATATTATATCTGTCAATAAATTTGACATGTTCTAATGTGTTGGAACATGAACTTTCCAAACAACCATATATATATATATATATATATATATAGCACATGGAAATATACACACATATAGTACAATCAGATACATGCTGGTAAGGTTGAAGAGGAAGGAACAGACTGAACGTGACCAACCCCCGATGACACCAAGAAGCAGAATAGATAAAAATCTACACAATCTCAATGACCAAACTGGCAGAATGGGGCAGCACCAGTCACTCTGGCATAACCAAGGCAAACCTTGAGATCTTGCCTGTCTCAATTCCCTTTGAGTTGCAAGGGAGGCACTTCTAGTCAAGTGTGTGGGGCTTCTCCATTGCACAAAGTTGTTAACCAAATTCAAATACCAATGAATGGCCTCATCAAACTCTTTGATTCACAGTGATCTCCACCTCCACCACCACCAGGAGCAAGAAAGGGAATAGAGAGAGATGATGATGACCTGGATGCGAGTGATAACAATACACATAGCATGTGCGTGCGCACACACACACAATGCAAACATGCAGATTGTAGAAAACTGTTTTGTGAACCTCATTTTTATGATAGCAGGTAATGCCAGGTGTATCAAATTAAGAGGATAAAATTAAGTCAAAGATATACTGAGTCATTCTTATAAAATTGACTTAATATATCTTTGGTGACAAAAGAGACAAACAAATAAACATTAAATAAAACATATCTCTACATCCAAACAGGTGAGATGGAACACAAATGTTTCCATAAAGTAAGGTCAAGACAAAAGGACAATCTCGAAAGAGTTATTATTTTAGGAGGATCTGCATTCACTACTACTTTGACCAATCAATGTTCAGGACAAAAAACAACCTCTAACCAATCAGTTTGCTTCTGTGATCTGGCTGCTTTCTATAACTGCAAATGAGTTATTTCCATTTCCAGATAGATTCTGACTATTGATCTTTCTTTTGGTCTTGTCAGAACATCATGAAATAAAATTGGGATATGTCTGGTTTTTAATGTAGAGTAGTAACACCCCATCCACCAAGACAAATAGGAAGTTAAAAGTAATGTAAATATATAGAAAGATTTTTTAAAAAAATGCTTTAAACAGTAGACAATGAAAACTCCCACTTGAGAGCAACACTGAGACAGCTAAATAGAAATCCAAGACTTGTGTACAATGAATATATTGTCTAAAAATAGTTGTCAAAACAAGTCCCCTGATGGTTCATCCTATTTAGACATATGGCAGTTTCAATTTTTATGTGGCCTTGTTTAAACTTCCACAAAATGCTTAGAAAAGTGAAGAATGAACAAAGTTTTTATATACAGAAGTTTTACATCAAAGTTTTAAATTTGATTCTTGAAATTATCTATGTGAGGCAGGACAATATATCTGTCTATATTTCTGAGATGAGGCATTTTAATTATTTACATTTTTCAGACTGTTGTCCTCATCTTTGTTGCCATATTCACAATGCTTTGGCTGTTGTACACTCTGGGCTTCTTCAGGTGATTGGAATTTTGAACCCAACCTCCCACCAGGGTAGATTGTTCTAGTTTCATGTGTCATGCCTCTTCTGGATGTCCCAATTATCTCCTTTTAACTCAACTCAAGGTATTGCATTTTGCAAGTTGGGTTCTAAAGATTATTGGCGACTCTGCAAGAACATGCTGAACGACGGCAAATCCACAATATCTCCTTTATTCAATCAATTTGAGGTCCTGACTTCCTCAGCTGATAGAGCTGAATGCTTTGCTTGGAAATTCCCATCAAATTCAACTCATCCAGAGTACCTACACCTGATTTTCCCCCCTAGAACTGAGGCTCTATTGAGTGAGATGAGCATAATCCTGTTAATGGTATTGGACATCATCTCTAAATTAGACCCTATAAGGCTAGTGGTGTGGACCGGATACCAGCTGTAGTCCTGAAGAAATGAGCTCCAGTTCTCTCCAAACTATATAACTATTGCCTTGCTGATTCTTGCTTTCCAGCCTGTTGGATGTCCTCATCTGTTGTGCCTGTTTTTAAGAACTCTGGTGACCCTTCTGACCCTTCTAATTACTGTCCTCTCAGTCTCCTACCACTCTTCAGCAAAGTCTTCAAGGCTTTAATCAATGCCAAAAGGTTAAGCCCCTTACCACCTATGATCTACTCTCTGACAAACAATATGGTTTCCACTTGCCTGATCTGCTGCTGACATGCTAACAGCTATAACTGAATTTGTATACCAAGCACTTCACAATAACAGAGAAGCTCAGGCTGTGGCTCTAGATATCTTTAAGTTGTTTGATAGGGTTTGGCATGCCAGCCTTCTTTGTAAGCTTCAGGGATACGGTATTATAGGACAATTATTTGACAATACAATCTTTCCTGTCAAACTGTGAAATGAAGGTTGTCCTAAACAGGTTCTCCTACGGTTCCTTTCATACAAATGCTGGTGTTCCCCAAAGCTTTATCCTGGGTCCTACACTGTTTCTGATCTTCAACGATCTTCCTGATGTCATCAGTTCCCAAGCAGGCATCTATGTAGATGACACTACTATTTAGTCCTGCCTCAATAGTAAATCCAACATTGCTGATAAAACTAACCTGGCTGTTGGCCTCAAAAAGGACCTCCACTCTGTGATTGAGTGGGACAGGAAATGGCTTATAAATCTTAATGCCTCCAAAACAAAACTGCTCTCATTTACCCACCATAAAGAACCCTCCCTTCCTCCTATCAGAATGGTTGATTTCCAGCTCCATGAGAATGCATCGCTGCACCTTCTTAGTCTTACGCTTTCCACTGACCTGAAGTGGAACAACGACATTGAATCAATAGCTTCAACTACTGCAAGGAAAGTTGGTTCTGCATCACGCCAGAAGGTTTTTCTTGCCAGAGTCGATCCTTCAAATCTACAAATCAACCATTCATCCTTGCATTGAATACTGTTGCCATATATGGTCTGATGCCCCACTGTTCATCTTGAAGTCCTCGACAAAATCCAGAGACGGATATATAATGTGGTAGGTCCTGATCTGATATCTCGTCTACAGTCACTTTCTCACAGATGTGCTGTGGCTTCCCTCTGTCTTTTCTACAAATATTTTCATGTCAACTGCTTTGATGAGCTACTTTCACTGGTGCCTCAACTACATGAATTTAAGCATGCTACTAGGTTGGCATCTCGGTCACACACTTTCACTGTCGAAACGGTTAAACGTAGCCATCCCTTCTACACCAACAGCTTCCTATCACACACTTCCCAACAGTGGACCTCCCTTCCTCTTACTTGCTTCCCTGATAGCTATAATCTTCAAACATTAAAATGTAATGTTGGTTGACATCTTCTGATGCCTTCATCTTCATTCCTATCCTTCTCTTTAGCCTTTCCTCAAAGACTCCTCTTTACTCTTGCTCTCATTCTGTAACTCCTTACATGCTAGTGGCACTCCCACCTTGCTTGGGATGATATGCTTTAAAAAACCAAAAAAAAACCAAAAAAAAAAAAAAAACAAACAAACAAAAAAAAAATATGCTTTTATCCACTGGGTCATGTGCTCATGTATCTGGGTGTATAAATTTTTGGGACTTATGAACTTAATGTGTCAGTAAGCATTTTTTAGCAGCAATACATTCCAATTTTTGTTGTTATTATTGCTATTCTCTAGCACTCCTTATTACTGATTCTCATATTGTATTCATTTCTATGCTTGGCCAGCTTAGGTTTTTGTGGCCTAGCATGCGTGTTGATTCTTTAAATTTTCTTACTTTCCAGGGGCGTTGGTTATTTCTTCCCTAGAGATATACAAAAATTATATATATATATATATATATCAAGAACAACCCTAACAAAATCAAAATATATTGTTCTATCACAACTACAATTGAAAAGAATTTATCTAAGCATAAGCCATAAACAAAGAAAAGGAAAAAAGAAAAGAAAAGAAAAAAAAGAAAAAAAGAAAAAGAAAAAGAAAAAAAAAAAGAGAAAAAAAAAGAGAAAAAAAAAGAGAAGAAAAAAGAGAAGAAAAGAGAAGAGAAAAAAGAAAAAAGAAAGAAAAAAAGAAAAGAGAAAAAAGAAAGAAAAAAAGAGAAGAGAAAAAAAAGAGAAGAGAAAAAAGAGAAGAGAAAAAAGAGAAGAGAAAAAAGAGAAGAAAAAAAAGAGAAGAGAAAAAAGAGAAGAGAAAAAAGAGAAGAGAAAAAAGAGAAGAGAAAAAAGAGAAGAGAAAAAAGAGAAGAGAAAAAAGAGAAGAAAAAAAGAGAAGAGAAAAAAGAGAAGAGAAAAAAAGAGAAGAGAAAAAAGAGAAGAAAAAAAAAAGAGAAAAAAAGAGAAGAGAAAAAAGAGAAGAAAAAAAAGAAGAAAAAAGAGAAAAAAAAAAGAAGAGAAAAAAGAGAAGAGAAAAAAGAGAAAGAAAAAAGAGAAAGAAAAAAGAGAAGAGAAAAGAAAAGAAAAAAAGAAAAGAAAAGAAAAAAAGAAAAGAAAAAAGAAAAGAAAAAAAAGGAAAAAAAAAGGAATTGTTTAAAAGAAAATTTGTAAAACTTTATGCTGTATATAAATAATATATTTAATAAATAGCAATACTATATCATATTTACTTTTCTTTTATTTTTATCATATTTTCCTTCTCCCTTGTCTCTTAGTGGCTTTATTGCCTTGCTTAGAGTGAAATAATTAAAAACAAAAAAAAATGTCAAGAGATGAATTTTCACAACATGGTAATTTGATTTTAAATGAAGTGTAAATGCTATCCTTTAATGTAAACTGTAAGCCGACAAAAATTCTATTTTCAGTTGGTTTCTTTTAATTGGCATCTCATATGTCATTAGTAATATTTAATAAAAATAAGTTTTATTTTGCTTGAAGCTGGCACTTATCCTTTAAGGGACACCTAAGGTATTGGCTAATGACCCTAGCCACATCATGAAGAAAAGGTATTGCCTGAGGTGATGGCCTCCTGAGACTCAAACACATTCATTTTGAAAATCCCTTCTAACCCAAAGTGATGACCCCTAAAAGTGCATCATTACTTCATCAATCTGGTTAATACAAAAAAAAATTTTCTACATTTCAATTTCTCTGGCATCCGCTTTGCCCTGGGGAGATGGGTAGCAAAATTAATTGACAGTTTATCCTGAAAACTTACAATCAGACAATCATTTTACCACCAAACAAACTGCTATAGCATCAAATTTCATCTGCATTTAAATGTTTTGATATTTAACTGTATGCTCAGATACAGCAATTCAAAATAACATCCCCATTTAACACTAATCTATCAATCAGGGTGATAATGACACTAGGATGCAGTGGTTTACAGGGAGTGAAAAAGAATGAGAATACTTTAGTGAAGAGATTTGAGGAAAAGACAATAAAGAAACGATGTTCAGGAAGACAGAATATGGCAATTGTCATTGTATTAAAATTTTTGAAGATTGCAGGTGTCAGGGAAGCAAGATCTGAAGTGAGTTCCACAGGTGAGAAGTGTGAAAAAAAAAAAAAAAAAACAGATTAGAAGTGGCTATTGCATCTAGCTAGTTGCCTCCAGTCTTCCCTTCCTTGTAAGAAAATTTTCAAGCATTCACTGTCATAGAGGAGGATTGATATTGTTGAGCAGTTCATCACTTTTGGGCCAAGCACCCTTTTTTTTTTTTAATACAAATGGGACAAGCTGTGTGTATATATAGCTATGATAGATGGGTTGATAAGCCACAGAAAATCAATCAATCAATCAAATGCTTATTAGCTACACAGTCATGTCTTTTAAATTTATTTATAATCTCTGGAATACAAATGCATAGAAACTACAGCGTTCACAAAGTGAGGGATCAGTTCATATATTGACTGTAATAGAGTATCGATCCCTTACTTTATATCCACATTATAATTTCTTGTTTGTTTATCAAATGATGATTAGGTAAGAATTCACCTCTTCTCCCCACAATTATGATTTAATTAATAATTAATTAATAAAACTAGTATCACCCATAACATTATCTAAAAAAAAAAAAAAAATTAAAAAATCTTACAATTTGAAAATATTTTCTGGCTTTAAATAACCTACAAAAGGTTGGTAGAAAATCAATGACTCAATTAACACTCCTCCACTGAGTTTTACCAATTTAAAACTGTCCCAACTAATTTTACTAAATAAACATCCCCTCCTTTAAAAGTCTAAAATTGAGGATGTTTCATTGTAAATGTTTCAGAATTTTGAGACCATTAAGGAAACTAAGAATAAGCATATGAATTACCATATTCTTCAGTGTCATGGATTCATTATTTTTCCCTGAAAATTTGCCATGCGAAGGTTAGGGTTTTGATAGGCCTATGCTAACCCCAGAGGAAGGTTATCTATACCAGATGGTAAACTGAATTCCTGATGCAAATTTTCAAGACTTATTTCAGGAAAAAAAAAAAAACTATAACCTTGATGCCAGCAAATATGGTAATTCATTTCTTTTCTAGAAATAATCTAGTAGAATCTTTATTTTAAAATACTTTGTTCAGTTAACAATTTTGTAAACCATCTGAAAAAGCAATTTTTAGATTTTAGGCTGTGTTTTGGTTTAGTAGCAATTTGTTGTGTTGGGCAAAACTACCTCTTGTCTATTTTATGTTTGATTTCCTTTTCTCCTAAACTAAATTTATTAAAACTTATCCATGCACCAAGGTATTTGATATGTTTAGTATTTATTAATTTCACATTTTGAATTTTTATGATGAACTCAGGGTAGCTACTTGCATCCCAATTCCACATCATAATGGTACCAACTAAATCTAATACAAACAAACATTATTTCCTTCAGCTGGTATTTGTATTAAATTAGTGTGTTGCCTGGACAACTCTTTCACTATATATCATTCACAAGTACTTGACAACTTCAAATCAATTATTGTTTTGCTTATATTATAGTGCTGATCATTTATACATCCAGAATTCAGCCAGACAGAAATGGCAGGAAGTGGCATAAAAGTAACAGAGAAAGTTGTCTTCATTCAACTATCCAGCAGCCAACAGATGATAAAAGAGGTGTTATATGATACTACCGCTGTCCCATAATAGTTGTGACATTTAGTGTATGAAATATGCATGTAAATGTAACAACTATTATGGGACAGAGGTAGCAAAAGAAATAAAAAGCTAAGTTCTTTATGAAAAGAGAGAGTAAAAGAAAGAGAGAAAGAAAGATGAAAAAAGAGAGAGGGGGGAAGAGAGAGAGGGGAAAGAGAGAGAGAGAGAGGGGAAAAGAGAGAGAGAGGGGAAAAGAGAGAGAGAGGGGGGGAAAGAGAGAGAGGGGGGAAAAGAGAGAGAGGGAAAAAGAGAGAGAGAGGGGGAAAGAGAGAGAGAGAGAGGGGAAAGAGAGGGAGGGAGGGAGGGGAAAGAGAGGGAGGGAGGGAGGGGAAAGAGAGGGGGAGGGAGGGAGGGAGGGGAAGGAGGGAAAGAGAGGGAGGGAGGGAGGGAGGAGGGAAAGAGAGGGAGGGAGGGAAAGAGAGGGAGGGAGGGAAAGAGAGGGAGGGAAAGGGAAAGAGAGAAAGGGAAAGAGAGAAAGAGAAAGAGGGAGAGAGAAAAAGACAATTAGAAAAAGAAAAAGTTCAACAAAGTATTAACAGGAAAATTTCATTAGCAAGAAAGAGTACTGAATTATGTATATGGCAGTGAATGCTGAACCATCTCCTCACAGAGACTTCAGACAACAGAAATGTGCTTTTACAGAAGAATGCTGAGAATACCATGGCCTGAACACATGAGCACCATCAAAGTTTTAGAGAATATGTGAATAAAAAGGACACTTACACATAGCATTGGAAAGAGTTGAAAGAGTTGAAATTTCTAAGGCGCATAATGAGGAAAGGGGGCTTTGAAAATTTGATACTCACAGGACATATTGATGTCATAAGGGATAGAGGAAAGCAGTGTATGACTAACTTGTCATTGAGCTTGTGTATACTTAGCAGAACGGAGCAGTAGATATAGCAAAAAGACAAATTTTACTAAGTCCCACAAGGGACAGCAAATTGTGGAGAGCTACAATTACCCATGTCCTGAATGGCCATGGTAGATAGAAGAAAAAACAAAAACAAAAAACCAGAAGAGAAAACTAAAAAAAATCTTAAAATTGAATAACATATTTGATAAACCCACTTCCAACTTTGTGAAATTTGACCCTGTTTGTGGTTGAGGTAGTTGTGTATTTCACAGTTGTGCCATTTGTTAGTGTTCAAATCTCATAAAAGAGATTTATTTTTTTCAAAAACTAATTTTTAAGGCATGAAACACAATCTTCCCAGTCCATATGACCTTGCAGCATACCAAACTGAGTAAATGTATAAGACAGTTAATACCCTTTCCACAAGGTTGTGGTAGCTTTGTCATCCGTGACATAATTTTCTCCCTTGTAACCAAATGTAAAAGTCTTAAAGAAAAATATACAATAAAGAAAGCTTATGTCTCTCTGCATTTTTTTTTTTTTTTTGCTCTTCCTCTCCCTCTCAAAAGTTTAAAAAATAAAAAAATTAAGATGTAAAGGTAAAAAAAGAATTAATGGGTAAGGGAAGAATAAGGAAAAGAGAGAAAAAAAAAAACAGGTGAAGGAATGCCTTTGGTTGATTCCTTATTTCCATGCCTTTGGGCCAAAAATTCTATCTTCCAGAGAAAAAGAAAAAAAAGAAAAAGAAAAAAAAGAAAAAAAAAAGAAAAAGAAAAAAAAGAAAAAAAAAAAAAAAAGAAAAAAAAGAAAAAAAAAAGAAAAAGAAAAAAAAGAAAAAAAAAAAAAAAAAAAAAAAAAAAAAAAAAAAAAAAAAAAAAAAAAAAAAAAAAAAAAAAAAAAAAAAAAAAGAAAAAAAAGAAAAAAAAAGAAAAAGAAAAAAAAAGAAAAAAAAAAGAAAAAGAAGAAAAAGAAGAGGAAAAAGATGGAAAAGAAGAAAAAGAAGAGGAAAAAGATGGAAAAGAAGAAAAAGAAGAGGAAAAAGATGGAAAAGAAGAAAAAGAAGAGGAAAAAGATGGAAAAGAAGAAAAAGAAGAGGAAAAAGAAGGAAAAGAAGAGGGAAAAGAAGAGGAAAAAGAAGGAAAAGAAGAAAAAGAAAAGGAAAAAGAAGGAAAAGAAGAAAAAGAAGAAGAAAAATCTCCTGCACTAGAGAAATCAATTTCCTTTTTCATAGTCAATATCCTGACTCAATCAAAATCAATACAATATACAATCAAAAGAGAAATATTCTGCTTTTTCTTTGGTTAAGATACCAAATAATATATCGAGACAGTGTTTTACATCAGCCAACACTGACAAGGCCATGAAACATCCATTTGGGTGATGACCAATTTTAGAAGTACTTAATCCAGCAAAGAGGTCAGGAAAATTATTGAACACTTGCTTAAACTACTGAAAAAAAATTTTAGAATATTTTTTTTATACCATTGATTTCAACTGACTTTCAATAAGCACTACTCTTTAGAGGTCTCAGCTATCACTAACGCAATTTAAACAAAGTATGAGCCAGTTACTGCTAGCCACGTTTCCACCAAGTACAAGCCGGTTAAAGCTAACCACATTTCTACCGAGTACAAGTAAGTTACCACTAGTAATTTTTCCACTGAGTACAAGAGAGTTACTGCTGAGTATTTAACTTTGTAAGGCAATCTCATGTTAGACTAGCAATCCAGCTCTGTATAAAAAAAAATCTTGCTATTAAAACCCGATTACTTTTGGTTGCAGCCTCATTTTACATAAGGTGTCTGCTGAAAAAAACTAGAACAGGGGTTCATTTGATATTTATGGAATATTAATAAATATTAAATGAAAGCCTGCAATTGAACAGCTTTTGTCTATCTTTATCTTTACAGCTAGGACAAGCCATATTCCAAATGTAAAGTGAATGTTCCTCTCAGACAGATTTTCCCAAGAGCTGTTACTTTGTGGGACAGACTCTCACGTGAGTGCTTCACTGAACACAACAATCTTAACCTCTCCAAGTTA